TGGATGTGGGGTGGATGTAGGGTTGGGTGTAGGGTTTGGGTGTGGGGTGGATGTGGGGTTAGAGTTAGATGTCAAATTAGGGTTAGATAAAGGATGGACGTAGGGTTGTGTGTAGGGTGGATGTAGGGTGGGTGTAGGGTGGATGTGGGGTGGATATAGGGTTGGATGTGGGGTTGGGCGTAGGGTGGATGTAGGGTTGGATTTAGGGTGGATGTAGGGTTGGATATAAGGTGGATGTAGGGTGGATTTAGGGTTTGGTTGTTGTGGGAATGGGTCTCATGGGAGGACGACCCCGCACCCATCAGGGTCCCCACCTGGAGCCGGTCCGGTTGGTGAGGCCCGAGGGCGCGCTGGATGCCATGCTGTGCCCCAGGCTGAGGCGTCCGCCCTGCAGAGCCCTGCATGGAGAGATGCTACTTGGTGTCACGGCCTGGGGACAACCCTGGGGACAGAGCAGCGCTGGCAGCAGCGGGGCTGAGAGGTGGGGATGTGCAGGGATGGGGTCCTGCCCTCACCTGCCGAAGGTTTGATCGTTGCCTGGTAGCAGAAGAGCTGCAAAAAGGAAGCAGAGAGGTGGCAGGGAATGGAAGGGGACATCTGGGGAGGTTTGGGGACAGGCCCTGTGTCTGCAGCCCCTCTGACTGCAGCGAAACCATCCGGGACAAACAGCCTCTCCCCATAGGTGTGCTCCCTGTCCCTGCATCCTCCAGGGATGCTCAGAGCGTTGGGAACAGGAAAGGACCCCCGGGGGTGGCTGCTACCTTCAGCTCCCAGCGTCAGGTCGTCCTCAAAGCTGGTGCTGCTGCTCCCACAGCCTGCAAGACAGCATCACCCCGAGGGGCGACAGGGATCAGAGGGGAGACCCCCACCCTCAGCCCCTCCATGCTGTGCCCACAGAGCGCCCACCTACCGTAGGGACCCAGTGAGCACAGCTCCTCTGGCAGCGCCTCCAAGGACGACCTGAACCCGGAGCAAAACCCCGTGAGGTCCAGCAGTGCTGCACTGCACCGTGCTGGGGGTGCGGGGTTGGGAAAGGGGGGATTTGAGCACGGTGGGATGAGGGGTGAGGGATGGGGATGAGGTTGGGTTGGACGGCGTGGCCGGGGGGGGACGCTCAGAGGGTGAGCACAGCACCCCCAGCACCAGAGTGGCTGAGCACGGAGCGAAGGGACAGCGGTGCCTCCTGCACGATGCATGCGTGCCTGCAGCTCCTGTGCGGCTCCAGCATCCCCCCCCCCGGGTGCAGAAAGCCCCAAGGAACGGACAGGGAGGCACCGTGCCCCCCATGGCCCCGCAGCTCACCCGCAGTCCTGCAGCCACGTCTCTATCTTGCTGGAGGAGCTTCCTGCGGGGAGCAGAGATGAGATAAAGCAGCACGAGGGAGCCGGGTTTGCTGTGGTCACCAACTCGGCGCGGTGCAGAGCTGGCTGCCAAGCTCAGGGACGTGCACAGCCGCTTGCAAGCACTGATGTGCACTGCACACACACACGCAGCACGTGAAACGATGCGCTGGTGAGCACACAACCCTCTGCACGCACGCATCCCGTGCGCAGACCCCCGTTTGCACGCGGGCATCGCGGACCTTCGAGGAAGACGTCGTCCAGGTGGGGTGACTGCAGCTCTGGGATGTCCTGCATGGCTGCAGCCGCCTCCTCCTCCACCACTGTGGTCCTCCAGCAGCGGCTCTGCCGGGCCCAGGCGCGCCGTTTCTGCCATGAGGAGGGGCTGAGCACTGAAGACCCCTCCATGGCAGCACCGGGAGACCCTGCAGGGATTGGGGAGCCCTGAAGTTGGGGCATTCCTCACCCACTTTGCATAGCAGCCCCACAGCACCACCACAGCGTCTTGAGGCAAGCTGCACAGCACCAGAAAGCAACTCTTTCGGGATCCCCTTTGGGGCTTTTTAGAGCCTGGCACTTCCCATAGGAAAGAGCTTTCCCATCCTACCCATATCCCATTCAGTCCCCAAGCAACACCCCTTCCATCCTCACCCTCATTGCCATCCCCATCCCACCCCATTCCATCCCCATCCCACCCCATCCCATCCCATCCCATCCCATCCCATCCATCCCATCCCATCCCACCCCATCCATCCCATCCCA